AGGTCAGAAGACAGCCCAGGGAACAGCCGATTCCTACTAAAGCTCAAGCAGTCCCTACACAAGAACCCTACTGGCCTACCAACCAGTCAGGAGATCAGAGTAAGAGACATCTTCAGACATATATTCTTAGAGGTCTACAAAGAACAAGAACTAAGACCTTCAATTATTTTAAATTGTCAGCTATTCATCAGAAAAAAGGATGAGAGCCCCTCTGCCTTCTGAGGTTGTCTAGTTATTTTAAAAAGCTACAAAAGCCTCCGATTTTTTTTTTTTTTTTTTTTTTTTTTTTTTTTTTTTGTCTTTTTTGAGACCGTCTCCCTATGCAGTTCAGGCTGGCCTTGAGCTCACTTTGTAGCCCAGGCTGGTCTCGAACTCACAACGATCCTCCTGCCTCAGCCTCCAGAACCTGGGACTAAAGGCATGCACCACCACACCCGGCTAAGCCTCAGATATTTAAAAGCCTCAGATTTTTTTCCCCCCTTGTTTACTACTAAACTTTTTCAAATCTGTAGGTGAGACCAAGCCTCAGATATTTAAAAAAAGCTATAAAAGATAGCTTTTGCTCCAGATAGCTCACTTGACACTTTAGTGAAAATTGTCTCCTCAGTACTTTGTAATTGAGACCAGGAGGAGGCCAAGGGGAGAAAACAAAGAGAAAATGGCTGCACGAATTGCAGCCTTAAAAAGAACAGATTCAAACCAGGTGTGGTGGCCCACACCTGTAATCCCAGCACTTGGGAGGCTGAAGCAGGAGGGTTGCTGTGAGTTCAAGGTCAGCCTGGGCTACAAAGTGAGTTCAAAGCCAGCCTGAACTGCATAGTGAGACTCTGTCTCAAAAAAGACAAAAAAAAAAAAAGACTGATTCCCAAGGGCTCCAAGAAGAGCTCTATGACTAAACTTACCTGCTACCACTGCAGAAATCCAGCTCACCCTAGGAGGGACTGTGATAAGAACTGTCACAAGAAGAGGTCCCCTGAGCCACTCCCTGATTGCAAAGGTGACCACTAAAAGTCAGACTGCCCCCTGAGGCAGAGGCCCCAGGGATCAGACCCATCTTACCAGCTGGTCTAGCAGGACTGAAGGGCCCTGGGGCACTCTGCCTTCTCCCTCTGGCTGAACTGTCATCTCCACAGAGGAGCCCCAAGTAATGATAACTACAGGGGCTGGGGTGCGCTGGATGCTGGTACACATCTCTTGGTCCTTCTTTTCAACCCTGGCCCTCCTCCAGCCATCATACTTCAGTAGAAGAGTCACTAGAGAGGACGTAACTCGATATTTCTCACAACCCTTAGGCTATAACTGAGATGGCTTTCTCCTCACTCCTTTTTAATTATGCCTAAAAGTAAGTCCAGTTCCCCTCCAGGACAGAGATATCTTCTCTCGTTTAAATACTATAATATATATGCACCCAGGTTAGATACACTGCCTCTCCCTCATGGAAACAAAAATAAATTCTAAAATATAGACAACCAAAGGTAGAATAAATAGAGCAATAAAAGCTGCCCTGGTAGAAATACCTCTCAAAGATCCTATTATTTTTCCTCACCAGAGACAATACCAGTGTCAGGGCATTTCAAAAGCTTAAACAGGCATTTCTAAATGCCCCAACACTGAGCCCACCGACAAGACGCCATTTCAATCTATATGTTGATGAAAGGCAGAGCATGGCTTTGGGAGCGCTTACGCAGGACCAAAGACCTGCTCAACAGCCCATAGGGTACCTGAGTCACAAATTAGACATTATAGCAAAGAAATGGCCTGCATGCCTTAGGTTTAGGGCTGTGGCTGCCATAGCTCTCCTAGTACCGCAGGAATCCAAGCTGACTTTAGGCAAATATTTCACTATATATACAACTCACAATGTAGCAGGACTTCCTTCTTCCAAAGAGAGCCTATGGCTATGAGACAACCAATTTCTTAAATACCAGGCTCTCCTTCTGAAAGGACCAGCCATTCTTTTTTTTTTTTTCCCCCCAGTAGCAGGAACTGAACTCACAACCTTGTGCTTGCCAGGCAGGTGCTGTGCCACTGAGCTAAATCCCCAGCCCCTAAGAACCAGCCATTCAAATAAAGACATTTTCCTCCTTAAACCCTGCCACCTTTCCGCCAGAAGGAAAAAAAACTGAGGCTAAAAGGCACGACTGTGAACTGATAATTCTCCACACATACACAGCCAAAAAAAAGACTTCTTAGGCATATACCTTACTGACGCTGATTTAACCCTCTTCTGTGATAGCAGTTCCTTCATAAAAAATGTGACAAAAAAGACAAGATATACAAGTGATTCTACATCAGACACTTGTTCTTCACTAGCCCCAGGAACTAGTGCCCAGTTAACAAAACTCAGTATCTTGATTCCCGGTACAAAAAAAATTCATTATCTCCAACAAGGTCTTTACAACTCAGTAAAGGACAAAAAGTCAATATTTACACTGATGATAATTATATATACTTAATGCCAACTATAAGACAACTTAATAAAAAGGTCCCCTTATGTTGAAAACAAAGAAATCACTCCTACTCTCATCGGCCAAATACTACTAAATACTTGAGATAGACACCCCACCCCCAACAGTATATACACAGCATAACTTTACAAGTCAAAGGCTGGTTTACAAAAGATCAGTTTAACCGCCCTAAAATTAGATAAGAAACTCCCTAAGGCACTCACTGGTCCTATGAAACCAATCTGTGACCCTAGCTACTCACTAAATAGATAGAGAAATACATGCTGGAACCTGAGTGGTTACAAGGCAAGAGTGTCAAAAATATTGACAAACCTACAAACTTTCCCCATCTATCAATGGTCTAAAAGTATGTCCCACAGGTATGATCATTTGGCTTCTATTTTTATCCCTCCCCTAAGATGAGAGGATGTCATACAACACACTGAGGCCTTGTCTAACTATACTCAATGGGCCTTTAACGACTCCTCTCTCTCCTAAATAAAAAAATAAAATTAATGAGGCAAGCTGTCCTCCAAAATCAGATAGCTTCAGACATTCTAACAGAAGCACAAGGGGATACTTCTATAATTATAAAAGCTAAATGTTCTGTGTACATTCCTGCTCCTTCTGCTCATATCTCAATGGCTATTAAAGATCTTAAACAACAGGTTAATACCATCTCAGATTCTAAAATTCCCTAGACTTTCTCCTTACCCTCTTTGTGGGAGGTTATTACTGGCTCTTCCTGGTAAAAACATTTGTTGGTTATATTCACAATAGTCTTGTTCATCTTATTACTTGGCCCATGCATACTTCATTGTTTCTTTCGCTTTGTCTCCTCCAGACTTAAAGTACGCGCCTACCCAAGGTGAGAATGCCTGAGGTCTACGGAGGGGCTTTAGATAGACCCTCCGTAAAGTATCTTTAACTGCCGATCACTACTACAAACCCCTTCAGCCAAAAGTAGCCAAAACGGTCTTCAGCCCTTTCGCCCTCACAGCAGTTAGGGGTACCTCTCCAGAGGGGGAAATATTATAGACAGCTAAGTTAGGTAAAAATAGTACAGACAGTCAGACAGGGCCCCCCCCCCCAGGGAGTCAGTACAGAGGATGAGAATACATTACAACTGGGGTGAGAGGCACATCCATTGAAGGCCAGGTCTCAAGATAAAGACAGAATGAGCAGGCCTACATGCCTCGCCGAGGGATAAGCAATATACTATAATTGGTATCACCTGGTGTAATAAAGTCTAGATGAACATCAGTCACCCAGGTGGGTCACCATGTGCACTTGCTAGGTGACTTGCTTCCCCATTAGATCAACATTACCTAAGCGGCTATACTTGCAATCCTATTGGTTGATCATAGTTTTTTTTTAAAAAAAAGGATCATAGTTTTGTCCCACTTTATACCCACACTGTGACTTTGTACCCATCTCATAATTTTGCTCTAAAAACTTCCCTTTAAAAGTGGGCTCTTTGGGCCGGGGAGATAGCTCAAAGGCACAGTGCCTGCCTGGCAAAGGCAAGGTCTTGAGTTTGATTCCCAGTACCAAAAATAAGTAGGCTTGTTGACAACCCACTGGGGGCACCCTCCTATTTCTCTCAAGAGCTGTCTCTCCCTCAATAAAATTCTCCACTCTTAACCTCCATTGTTTCTTTTTTTGTTGTTTTGGTTTGGTTTGGTTTTTTTCTCTTTTTGACAGGGTTTCACTATGTAGTACAGGCTGGCCTCGAACTCACAGTGATCCTACTGCCTCAGCCTCCCCAGTGCTGGGATTATAGGTATGTGCCATCACGCTGGGAGAAGTATAGTTCTTTTATAATTCTTGGTCACAAAATCCTCCTCAGATTTCCTCTTCACTTTTATGCCGAAATACCAGTATCAAAACCAAACAAATGCCAGCACCATGCTGTTAGATCTCTAGTACTATGAGACAAGTAAAACCACTTTCCAAACGAAATACCCAGGCCCTGGGATTTATTACAACTACACAACATTCACTAAGACCTCTACACAATGTTCAACACATTGTGTTTTTGTCACTTAACGACCTATCTTGACAACTCACATGACTAAGTTTCTTCTTTTTTTTTTGTCTTTTTGAAACAGGGTCTCGCTATATAGCCCAGGCTGGACTCAAACTCGAAACAATCCTCCTGCCTTAGCCTCCCGTGGAAAAAATTTCTAAGAAAAGAATTCCAGGGGTTGTATCAGACCAGCTTGGAGGTAAGGGGTGGGGTGACATAAAGTGTCACAGTTAAAGTCAGCAACATATACATCCTTGCTCATCACGTGCCTCAGAGCTGTCAACTCGAGTGTCCACAGACTTTTCTGGGCACCTGCTCGAACACGTTCTGGGGAGGTGGCTTGAAGTGAGTGAGTTTAAGCTGCAAATGCCCTGGAAGAACTACTCGTAGAGAACTAATGGTTACCTACCACACTGCAGGGGTAGTCTTGGATACCATGCCAGTGATGCAAGCAGCAGCCACAGCTCAGAAGCCTAGGATCCAGCTCCTCCCACCCTACCAGATGCCACAGAACTGCCACATACCTCAGCATACTGCTCCTTGAGTGGGCCAGAGAGCCGGAGGACAGCACAGACATCCGCTCCGAGTCTGTGGGCCAAGGACGTGCAAAATCAGTTAACCAGGCCAGGTGTGGTGGCGCATGCCTGCAATCCCAGCATTCAGGAGGCTGAGGCAGGAGGATTGTTGCAAGTTCAAGACCAGCCCAGGCTACAAAATGAGCTCAAGGCCAGCCTGAACCGCATAGCGAGAACCCTGTCTCAAAAAGACAAAAATTAGAAATTTAAAAAAAAAATCAGTTAACCCAAGGCTTCCAGAAAAGTTCAGAAGCCTGGGTTGAAGCCCCATTTCTTTTTCTTCTTTTTTTTTTCTCTTTACTTTGTCTTTTTGAAATAGGGTCTCACTATGTAACTCAGGCTGGCCTAGAACTCGCAGCAGTAATCCTCCTGCCTCAGCCTCCCCAGTACTGGGTTTATAGGGGTGAACCATCACACCTCGCTGAAGCCTTATTTCTACAACTGGTTATCTATGTACCTTGGGGAAGTCCAACTTTCCTGATTATAGTCTTTACTTATCTATAAAAGGGGTACACTGGCATATATCTAGATGTCCCCCCAAAGCCTCATGTACTCATAGGTGGGGCTTCTGGGAGCTGGGTGAATCTAGGCTGTATAGTACTAAATTAGTCCACTGATGGAGATTAACATGGTTCTGGGTGTAGATAAAGGGAAGGCTCACCCTGGGTGTGGATGGCACCACCCAAAAGGTTTGTAGCCTAGATGGGAGGTTTCCTTAGCTGCTGCTTCTGCTGCTTGCTACTTTGGCCGCCATGCCTCTGTGAGGGGCCTGCGCCATGTCACCCCACCTTGGAGCAAGCCCACAAGGGACTGAAACTTCTATGAACTGTGAGCCAAAATAAACCTTTCTTTCTTAACTTGTGAGTGTCCAGTATTTTGTCTGAGAAAAGTAACTAAGACAATAGAGACATCATTTCTGTTATATCTCCTGTGCAGGGTTATTATGAAATTCAAATGAATATACAGGAGTCGTGAAACTAACAGGTAAAACCTATAAAATTATAGTTATGGTGTGAGCCTCTAGGCCTGGTGCTATTCTGTCTGCATTAGGTCACTGCTGGGACCCTTAGCTCAGTCTCTCACAGCCAGGGATATCTCTTGTCTCAGCGGACTTGGTCACCACAACATGAGGAATAATTTGTCACTTCAGTTAGTCATTTTACTTAAGCAACCATTTGGTTGCTTATAATAAAAGTAACAGAAGATCCAAGTAGGGGCTGGGGATTTAGCTCAGCGGTACAGCACCTGCCTGGCAAGCGCAAGGTCATGAGTTCGGTTCCCAGTACCAGAAAAAATCCAAAAAATCCAAATAATAGCAGTAAGGTCCATGATCCCTGCCCTGGGCTGGTGATGCTTCAACACCAACGTGGTGAGAGGGTGTTCTGTGGGATGGGGAAACTGAAGCTGAGTGAGGAGAATGGACTCACCCACAGCAACACTGTAAGTAATGAAACCTCTATTGGCAAAATGAAAATAGCCAACATTTCATTTCTGAGTCTGTACAGCTACCAAGAATTGTTCTAAGCCATTCACGTGCATTATCTCATGTAATCCCTCCAAGTATTCTGTTATTATTGCCATTTAACAGATGTCAAAACCAAGGCCAAGTGGATAAGAAACGTGTACACGAGCACACACCCTGTACTGCTGAGCAGGGTGTGAGTCCTAGCTGTCACATTCCAGAGCCTGATTCTCACCACTCTTGGACTTTTGTGTTTGAGGCCAAGATCCAACTTGAGAAATGGTGGTGAGATAGTAGTCAAAGATTCAGGTGGTGACCTCTGCCCTGGGTTCTCCTGAAGACTTTTAGAAATGCTGTGCTACCTAAAGCCACATCCTAATACCCCCACCATACTGGCCTTCCAGAGGAGGAGCCTCACTCCACTTTCTCCTGCTTCTCTGCTCTCCCAGCACAGGATGTTCCCACACAGAACATCTTGCTTGGAGAGAAAACACTGAGCAAAAGGAATTTATTATTATTATTATTATTATTATTATTATTATCATTATTATTAAAGGGAGCCATTGAGCTAAACCAATCCCTGGAGCCAGGCACAGCTGATTTTTTTCTTTTTTTCTGATATTGCACATTGAACCCAGGACCTTCACATTGAGCCACATCCTTCACTTTTTTTTTTTTTTTTTTTTTTTGAGACGGGGTCTTGCTAAATCACTAAGTTGCCCAGGCTAGGCTCACACTTGTGATCCACCTGCCTCAGCCTCCCAGAATGCTGGCATTACAAGTGCTCACTACCATGCTGGGGTCTACAAAGCTGAATTTGAATCCTTAGCAATTTCGTTTGTTTTTAACTTTCCAGTACCTTCATTTCTTCATCTGTGAAATGGAGATGCTAATACTACACAGTAATTAACAAAGACATTATGAGATTAAAAGGAATCATGGGGCTGGGGATTTAGCTCAGCGGCGCAGCGCCTGCCTGGCGAGCACAGGTCGTGAGTTCGATTCCCGGTACCGGAAAATAAATAAATAAATAAATAAATAAAAATAAAAGGAATCATGAAGGTATAGTGTGTAGTACATAATAAACGCTCAGTAAATCCATAGGTGCTGGAAGGAATCCTGTTTTTGGAATCAGACACATCAGGGGGGGGTTTTAAAGAATCCTTCACCTGTGCCTCAGTTTACTTATCTGTAACAGTTACCTGCAACGGCGGTGAGAACAGGAACGGCACACACAAAGTGCCTTGGCCGTAACTGTTACAATGCTTCTTGGGGACAGACCTACAGATTAAGGCTTAGCAGAGGTGGTCGCCCGGTTCTCTGAGGCGGGGATGACCCTCCTCCCCCTCCCCCTGCCCCTGCCCCGCCACTGGAGGCCCGCGGACCCACGGCTCGCTCCTCCACACCCGTGCACGCACCTCAGGCGGGGCACTCGGGGCGCCGCCCTTCCCTCCTCTCCCCGCCCCACAGACACCTGCTCCGTAGCGTCTCCGTCACGAAGTCCTTCCCTGATTTCCTCTTCCCGCTAAACAGCAGCACCAGCTGGGGGGCGCCTCTCAGCTGGGCCATGGGGTAGCCACGCTCTTAGCGCCCAAAAGCTGTCACTTCGGTCGGGCCACCCCGCCCCCCGCCGCCCCGCCCTGCCGCGGGACTAGCCCCAGGAAAGGACCACTTTCTTTCCATGTGGTAAAGGTAAGGGGGGTTCCCCCCCTAGGTCTCCAAAGCTATAGAGAGGACGCGGTCCGCCGTAGGTCTACTCACTTTATTTCATGTCTAAACAAGGACAGTCAGAAAAACAGAGAAAACCGTGAAGCAAAAAGAGGTTTATTTCCACGGCTGCCTTCTCCCCTAAAGGAGCTCCCCCATTGCCACTCAATTAGACCAGGCCAGCCCCGCCCAGCGTTACGTCACAGCCAGGCCCCCTTAACGGACGCCAGGGGAGGAGCTGGACGCAACTACTTTTCTCCGAAGGGGGTGACGTTTTAAAATTTCCAGAGGTGAACTTCACTCTCCCTTCCACACGCCCTAAAAACATTCGGAAAAAAATAATGAATGTGATAACGTTGAAGAAGTTTTCACAACTGCCTTTTTCTTGTACTTTATAATGCACGTACTAAAGTAAATTTGTATTTGCCCCACAGTGAAAATGGGTTCTTCTGATGACGGTCCTGTGTAGGCTGTGAGCCGAGGGGGTTGTGCCTCGTGACGTCATGTGGCGAGAGCGTGCAACACGCTAGTTTTTGTTTGTGTTTTTTGCCTTTTAGTAAGAGACTTATTATTCCTATTTTTAGTTCCTGTCACCACGCTAGTTTATTGTTAAACAGGTTTTATTACCGGATAGGCTGATATGGTTTGACCTTGCTGGCCCAACAAGAAACTTTTATCCAGCCGTGTCTTCTCCAAAGATTTTCCGAAGTTTGAGAGTTGGAATGACATGGGTGACATCAATAGTATAAAAATGGGCCTTGAAGTCATCCTGGACGAGATTACCAGTGTTACGCAGCTTCCAGCTGAATTAAGGGTGATGATCTGTACCTTCCCTGAATATTCAGTTCTGCTCCTGCCGCAACGGCTGACGCCCAGCCCTCCTCACTTCGTGCAGTTGTCTTTAGCTATGACTCATTCTGCCACACGTTTCTGAGCTTGTCAAAACAGAGCTTGAGGGGGTCGGGGATATAGCTCAGCGGCACAGTGCCTGCCTGGCAAGCACAAGGCTGTGAGTTTGATTCCCGATACAAAAAAAAAAAAAAAAAAAAAAAAAAGAGCTTGCAGCACATTAATGCCGAGGCTGTAAAGTCATGTGAAGAGAAGTGAAGTGTGGAGTGTTTGGAAGAAACTATTATTTCCCTGAAGAAAAAAATAGCTGGGCGTGATGGACCACACCTATAATCCCAGCACTTTGGGAGGCTGAGACAACCTCAAACCCAGCCTGGGGAATTTAGTGATTTAGCAAAACCTTGTCTCAAAAAATAAAAAAGTACTAGGGCTGTAGCTCAGTGAGAAGACCCTAAGTTCAATCCCTGGTGCTGGGGGCGAGGAAAAGTGGGTGGGAGTTGGCACAGAAGAAATTTGAAATTCGAAAGAACAGACTTCAGGGAAGTTTTTTTAAGCAACCGAGAAAACTGCACTCCTCAATTCACTCATGTAGCATGGGGCTGTAGCTGTGTGGTAGAGGGCTTGCCCACAATGTCCAAGGTGCGGGGAGACATAGAGTGGAATTTTAAAACCCCAGCTTTGATAGTTTGCAGAAGAGACCTTCAGCAAGTAAATAACTTCACAAGTATAATACCCACCTCACAGTCTTACAATAAGAAGGAAATGAGAGCCCGGTGTGAGGGAATATATCTGTAATCCCAGCACTCTGGGAGGCTGAAGCGGGAGGATCAGACATTTAAACCCAACCCGAGCAATTTAGAAATTTAATTAGACTTTGTCTCTACGTAATTAGACTTTGTCTCTGGGTGTGGTTTAATTAGACTTTGTCTCTGGGTGTGGTTGCGCACACCTACAATCCCAGCACTCAGGAAGCTGAAGCAAGAGGATCAAAGCAAATTGGAAGCAAGCCTGGGCTACGTAGTGAGTTCAAGGTCAGCCTGAACTATACAGCAAGACTCTATCAAGTCAATCAATCAGTTAATAGGTTGGGGCTAAGGATGAAGCTCAGTACAAAGACCCTGTGTTCAATTCTAGTTCCAACGAAAAAAAAGGAAAATAGATGATAAACTGCAATAAAATATTGTGTAAATTCTAAAGTATTGACATAACCATGGCATAGTCAGAGACCACCATAGATACAAAGGATAAACAAATGCCTCAGCTCTGAGCTGTTACTCATCAAAGCATGATCTATTTTTCTTCTGAGGGAATTAGGGACTTTTGTGATCCTTCATTTGGGCCTACAAATGTCCAGGAGTTAACTAAAAACAGAACAAAGCTTTACTTTCTTTTTGTAAAACTCAAAGCATCCTCAGCTCTGCATATAGATGTGTTAGTCATTTAGGGAGTGTCTGTCTAAATATTAGCAAAACAAGGTTTATTAGCCCTAAATTTTCCTAGCCTATCTCATTGCCTTTCAAGACTGAGGACACTGATGTAAGAGATTTACCAGGACATTCAGCTATGCCCTGAAGTCTCCATTATCTTTCTTTTTTTTTTTTTTTTTCCGTCTTTTTGAGACAGGGTCTCACTATGCAGTTCAGGCTGGCCTTGAGCTCACTTTGTAGCCCAGGCTGGTCTCAGACTCACAACCTTAGCCTCCCAAGTGCTGGGATTACAGGCGTGCGCCACCACACTGGGCTAGTCTTCGTTGTCTTAAACTTGTGGTCATCTTGGATTTCAGCAGAGACTCACATGACTAAAATTGCCCCTTTGGTTATAAGGGTTCCTCCCATAAAATTCAAATTGCCGCTCAAGTCACCAGGATTCACCTGAGGTAGACGCAGGACTGAGATAATAATCGATCAGATCCTGGCCCACCTGCTTTTCCGTCAGAGTGTACCCGTCCAGCTACTCAAACTGGAGTCCTTTCCCTGTCTGTTCTTAATTTCTTCGTTAAGGACCTGCTTGATTTTTGACAGAGCCCGCTTCCCTTTATTTTCTTAACTCTTTTTTTGAGACAGACTCTTGCTATGTAGTTCAGGTCAGCCTCAAACTCACTATGTAGCCCACACTGGCCTTGAACTTGCTGTGAACCTCTTGCCTCACGCTCCCAAGTGATGGGATTACAGGCATGCACCACCACACCCAGCTGATTTTCTCTTACTCTCAATTAAAGCTTTTTCCTGCAAATTAGAGTTTTACTTTTAATTTGCATTATCACTAAAGCAAAGACCCACGCTAGCTGGTGACAGTATCAATTTTTGTTCTTAGCATTTTGTGTTTGCAGTCTGTAATACAACAGGATCAGACTTTCAGCTCATCTTCCGTGAACATTTGTTTGAATCAACTAAGCCTTCAAGGATTAACCACTTGCACTTTCCTGCTTTCTGAGTCACCACTAGGGAGGTGTCAGAACTTCCGCCCAGAGTGGCTTCCCTCTGCTGACCCATCCCACCCCCAGCCCCAGGCCTCCCACACCCTGGATCAAGCTGCCTGGAATTCCCAGTCTGTGGTCAGAAAACCTCTCCTCCCCAACCTCTTCTCAGCCACTTCCTTCCTGCTGCCTGCTTCACCGTTTCCACTACCCTCTCTAGCCAGACCTTTTCCTTCTCTCCCAGCCCTCAGACCTTGGGAAAGACTTGAGTCCATGCCTCCTTCCTCACTTCAGTTTCCAGATCTTTACTTCTCTGCCTCTTGGAAAACTCTGGTTGCTCCCAGCTCACACCATCTGGCTGAGCTCTTTTCCCCTCCCCAATATTAAGAACCCCATCCCAGATTCCTTCTTAATTCCTGAGACATTGTCCCATTCCGCCTCTTCACGCACTTCCTTTTGTCAAATTCAACAATGGCCTCGGCTATTCAAAGCCTGTGTGTGTGTGTGTGTGTGTGTGTGTGTTGGGGGGGTACTGGGGATTGAAACCAGGGCCTTCTCACTAAACTGCATCCCCACTCCATCCTTTTTGAGACAGGTCTCACTAAGTTGCCCAAGCAGGGCTCAAACTTGTAATCTTCCTGCTTCGGCCTCCCAGATTGGTGGGACTACAGGTGTATACCAGCATGTCCAGCTTGCTCAACGCCTTCTGCCTCCTATCCTCAGACACCAGCTCCTATGGACATAGCCTGGGCCTTGTCATCACTAGAAGCTGTTCAACCTGTCAACTCACATGCTAACCGAACCCTCTAAGGTGAGTCTCTCAAATACTCCCTGTTCCTGCCAAGCCCTGATAGGCCCATTAAACTCTGTACTGTCACATCATCTCTGCCCTATAGATGACAGGTGAATAATTGAAGATGCCAATGGGGGGAGGGCTTGTAGGGGGATTTGGAGGCCACGACTTCCCCAGAGACTAGCAGAGGATCCTCTGTGGGGATTCCCAAGGCTAAGCTCTCATAACCCCATTACCAGTGGCTTGAGTTCCTGCGGCAGCTCCTGGGAGCACCCTCTGCCCCTCCGGTCCAGTCCTCTACAGATCCAGCTTCCTGTCCCTCCTGCTGCTGCCCCCCTGTGGCCACCACTAGGCATCTCTGCAAAGCAGCTCCTCCAAACTGCTCAGGTTCAGCGAGCAGCTCCTCTAAATCTCAGCTCAAGAGGGAGAGGAAAGGAGGACAGGAAGGGAGAGGACCAGTCAGGACCAGTCAGGGGTCAGCAGCCCTAGGATCCAGGCTGCACTCTGTCCCTCCAAGCTTTATGGGCTTGGACAGGCACTTCCCTCTCTGGGCCTCAAGTTCCATCTCAGAACAAGAATGGGACTGATGCTCATGAAGGGCCAGTATTCTCCTGTCCATAAACTGTAGCCAGTGGGGTGGTCGTCAGTGGCCACAGAGGAAATGCTTCCAGGGCAGGTGCCCAGGTAGCCGGAGGGTTGGGAGGTGCAGCACACAGACCCAAAGAGAACACACAGGAGCTCAAGTTGGATGCATCTGAGGATCTGAGCCAGCAGGGCAGGAGATGGGGAGGGCTGAGGCCTCAGTACCCTCAGATGCCTCCCAGGGCTACTGTTCTCCCCCGTCCCTGCCTAGCTATGATGTGATTGTAGGTGAGTCACCTAATCTAAGTTTCTTCATCTGTTAAATAGTCTTACCTCCTTCCAAGCCCACTTCTCAGGAGATAAAAGGTACAGAGGTACCTTTAAGTTAATGGCCCTATGTAGATGACAGGGTGTCCCGCTTCCTTTATGCAGGCCTCCTGTCATTGTTGCTACCCTAGTGCCTTCCCACCACACTGCCTCAGCCAGGGCCAAAGGCCACATTCCAGAGGAGTAGGGCTCAGTGGCCTTCTGAACCCAGGGCAGCTGACTGACCTCCCAGAGGGGTCCTCTAGCACTTTCCTCTCCACGGCAGTGTGTGGCTTCAGGTTTGTGCTTGTCCTGCCCCAGCCAGATGACCTGCCCCTCTCACTCTAAACAAGGTCTCTGTGATGGCCCGAGGGTGACTCACTCTTCTCTGCTGGTGCCTCCCCACAGGGCCCGTGAAGGTTAGTGTCCCCTGCTGGTAAGGTCCTCTGCTAAGCTCCCCTGCCCCAAGGTAGGTAGCAGGGACGTGCAACTCAATGGAGCAGAGAGGTGATCTACTGGTGGCCCAGCCCTGTCCCTAGGCTCATATTCCGCAAATCAAGCCCAGCACCCCTGCCCACTCCACCCCCATGAAACTCCTTTCCCAGCATTGCATTGCACAAGGACATTGTCACCCACTTACACAGAGGTCAGGAGGTGGAATGTCCTTAACTCCTCCCTCTCCCCTGTCACCAGGCATCCAAGGTCACCAGACTTTTTTTTTTTAATGAAATGAGCAAAAATCAGTAGCAAAGTGTATTTGAAAAGGTAAAAGTGAAGAGTGAGAGAGAAATTGGCTCTGCAGAATGAGCTTGGGCTGAGTAAAAGAGGGAAAAGCAAGATAAAAGTACACCCTGGGGAAAACAGGGCACGTTATCCTAAGGAGAGCCATGATAGGCTTTTTTTTTCCTTTCAAGACAGGGTCTCGATGTGTAGTTCAGACTGGCTTGAACTCACTATGTAGCACAGGCTGGCCTCAGATTCACACCAGTACTCCTGCCTTAGCCTCCCAGTTGGAATGCTGGGATTACAGGAGTGTGCCACCACGTCCAGCTGGTCACCAGACATTCTAATTCATGGCCCTAAGCCATCTGCTTTCTGGGTGCTGACTAATTCTGTCACCAGCTGATGTGGGTTTTTTTTTTTTATGATAATAGAAAATAAACTTAAAATGACAGTATAGCTCTAAGGAGGGGCTGGGAAGGGGCACAGTCTGACAGAAGGGTGCAGGCAGGCCTACAAAAAGAGACTAATTCTATAGAGTGTTATAGTGGGCTTGGATCCACTACATTATTTTTTCAGTCCTGGTTTCATAGCTCCAGAGGAATCCTCAGAACTTGGTGGGTGATACAAGTCCCATGGGAGGAAGGCTCATGGTTTGAAGGGCAGGCTCAGCCATGCGAGGAATCCAAGGTGTATTGGTCAGCTTTCCCGTAGCTGGAACACAGTATCCATGAGTCACAGCTTCAGAGGTTTAGCTTCATCTAGCTCACAGTTTCAGAGGTGTCAGTCCATGGGCAGCTGGTTCCCAAGGCAGGAGCATCATGGTAGAAGGATGTGGTGGAGCAAGGTTCCTTAATTCTTGATGGCCAGGAAGCAGAGCAGAGAAACAATGCCAGAGGGGAAAGGGAGAGGGACCAGATACAGTCTGGTCAGGCCTCTTGTGACCGCCCCCCAACACACCCAGAAGTGTGCTCTACTAATCCCCTAGGTGGCTCTCAAACCAAGCTGACACAACTAAGCTTATCCACCCCGCAAGGTGACCACAGGTTTAGCGCAGTGGAGACTTTCCAGTGTAGGTGTCCTCAGTCTTAAAGAGCCATGAGACAAGGCTGGTAAATTTGGGGCTGAAAAACCTTGTTTTACCAACTTTTACACAGATACTCCCTAACTAACATGCCTAAATGCAGAGCTGAGAAGGATTTCACTCAGATTGTATAAAATGAAGGTCAAGCTTTGTTGTACTACAGAAATCTGTAGGCCCAAGAAATTACAGTTTTGAGCAAATTCACTTTTAAGTCCCTGTGTATCTTAGAAGAAAACACAAATCATTTCTTTTTTTTTTAGATAGGATCTTGATATATAGCCTAGGCTGGCATTGTACTCACTATATAGCCTAGGCTGATCCTCCTGCTGGGATTAAAGGCGTGCACCAGCACCCTCAGCAAAATCATGCTTTTAATAAGTAACCAGAGCTGCTGCGATGGTGGTGCATGCCTATAATCCCAGCCCTAGGGAGGCTGAGGCAGGAGGATCACCAGCCTGGGCTACAGAGTGAGTTCAAAACTAGCCTGAAATACATAGCAAGACCCTGTCTCAAAAAAAAGTAACCAGAGACAAATCTGGTTCTACAGTCTGTAATCCTAACACTTGGGAAGCAGAGACAGGAGGATTTCAGTGCATTCAAGGGCAGCATGAGACCTTGTCTCCAAAAAACAACAACAAAATAGTTGGTGGGATAGCTCGGTGGTAAAGCATGTGCTTACCATGCATCATGCCATGAGTTCAATCCCCAGCACCATCAAAGAGCCAAAAAAAAGTAAGTCAAAAAGAAAACAAAGACCAGAAAAAGAAAAGGGAAAGAGTAGCAGGTTAAAGGCCCGCGAGTTTGTCTTCTACCCCTATTGTGGTCTCTGTGTCATGACTGTGTCAATTCTTCCTGCCACCCCACCCTGGGTCACACCCTCTAGTCCATCCTCACGCAGCTGGCTGGCTGCCTTACACCCTTGTGCACCCTCTCCATACTGGTGTCTCTGCTCTGAGATACCCTTGGTGACCCTTCCCCTTTCCTAAGCCCCCCGAGACCTGTGGGCAGGCTTGTGGGGGAATTTGTTCCCTCTGAGCCATCTGGCCACAGGCTGTTCCACCTTCCTTTCACTTCACCTTTGAAGCAGAGAGGTCCTCTCCCCATCACGAAACCCTGTCATCCTCCAGGATCCGAGTCAGAGGCTGCCCACCCAGTCTGCAGCCTCCTCCTGCAGCACTGAGACAGCATGAGCAACATTATTCTTTGTGTCATGATCCAGTTAGTCTCAGGGACAAGGAATGAGCCCACAGCACCCAGTACAGTGCTGGGACTTGGGAGCTGGTTGGCAGCTTTTCCCTGCTGGCTCCTGCTGCAAAACCCTCTCTCCCTATTTCAATAGCTCACAGAGGCTCTCACTTTCCCCTTAGAGGTTAACTGAAATAAAAATAACTACTATTTTAACAGTACAAGCCGGGCGTGGTGGCGCATGCCTATAATCCCAACACTTGGGAGGCGGAGGCAGGAGGATCACTGTGAGTTTGAGGCCAACCTGGGCTACAAAGTGAGTTCAAGATCAGCCTGAACTGCATAGTGAGACCCAGTCTCAAAAAGACAAAAACAAACGAACGAACAAAAAGCAGTACAGTAGCTTCTCCATGTCCACAGGGTCCACGTCCATGGATTCAACATACCACAGATAGAAAACATTTAGAATCAGCCGACTGTGGTGGCACATGCCTGTAATCCCAGCACTTGGGAAGCTGAGGCAGGAGGATCATTGTGAGTTCGAGGCCAGCCTGGGCTACAAAGTGAGCTCAAGTCCAGCCTGAACTGCATAGCAAGACCCTGTCTTGAAAAGACAAAAAAAAAGAATTAAAAATCATGTGTGAGGGGCAGCAGTACAGCACCTGCCCAGCAAGCGCAAGGTCATGAGTTCAATTCCTGGTACCAGGAAAAAAAGAAAAAAGAAAGAAAAATCGTGTGTGTTCTGTACATGTGTTATCCATGTTTACTAAACGATACGGCAGAACAACCGTTCACACAGCATTCACACTGCATCAGGTATTAGAAGTCATCTCTAGATGAATAAAGTGCATGGGAGGTTGTGCGTGGGAAATATGTAAATATCATGCTACTTTATATCTGGGAGCTGAGTATCCATGGGTTTTGGTATCCACAGGGGGTCCTGGGATGAATCCCCCAGAGATACGGAGGGATGACAGTGTGTTCCAGCTTCCAAAGCTCTCTGTTGCTGGTAGTGACTTGTTTAGGAGAGTAGTGACTTGTTTACCATAGTGTCTACTTTAGTGATGGGAAGGCTGAGCCCTGCCACAGCAGGGGATCTTACCCAAGGCACTTGATGGCACGTAAAGACCTGACACTCTGGGGTTCTTTTGTTTTTTCACTCTGGGCTTTAGACATCAAACTCTGCTCCGACCAAAGCTCTACTTAGAAAAGAGTCTTGCCTTGGCCAAGAAACACTGGCACTGCGAGCTTTTCTTCTGTGGTGTCCTGTGTGGGAGGGGTCAGGTATCTATTGTGGAAGCAAAACACTAAAAAGCTGGGCTGTAACCTTATGGGTTCCCCTGAGGGGAGGGACAGGACGCCCAGACAAGAGCATGAGTGGTTCGCAAGAGGCTTTTGCAGCTCAGGAAGCTGAGGGGTGTAGCATCGAGCGCAAGAGCAGGTGTTATCTGAGCAACATCTCCACTCCCACTCTTCAATGTCCTGCCCAGGCCCCTGCTGTCAGCATGTGATGGGACCAGGGACATCTGTGGCCCAGAACAAGTCTTGATAAGATTATCTACATCAGGATGGCCCTTGAGGTTCCCATGGCAACAGCCAGCCAGCCCAATGTCTGTCCTTGGGCCCAGCAGAGGAGGCTGGGAGCTGCTGTCTAAAGCACAAGCTTTAGCCCTCTAGGAGTCCAAGAGGGTGACAGACCCACCGCCACCCCACTTGCACCCCAGAACAGGTGGGACTGAAAGGCAGTGGAGAAAGGCTGGCTCCTAGAGGGAGGCAGGGAGAGACAGGGGAGATCCCAGAGGAGGTGATAGGCCAGGGGATATGAGTGGCAGAGGGCTAGGCTGAGGGCATGGGAGGAAAGGGTGGCTGGAGAAGCCAGGGAGAGGAGTGAGGGCTAGAGAATGAAAGGCAGGGAAGGGAGGAGGAATAGCACAGTAGGGGCCCATTGGGAAAGGAGTCTGGGGGACTGGCCAAAGGAAACAGAACTTTCCCCCTGAACTGGAAGGCCCAAGAGAGCTACTCTTATGTTAATGATTCCCTTGAGCCCCTGGGCTGGGCCCTTAAGGTGGTGGGGGTAACATTAAGGGAGCTCCCCTGGAATGGACAGAAGCCAGGTACAGCAAAGGCCAAGGGCCTAAACTGGGAGGGCTCAACTTAAGACACTGGAAGCCCACATGGGGATGTGTAGCAGAGTCCACAGCATCAACCCACCCCGGGCTGGCCGGGAACGGCCCCCATCCACGTAGTGAGGAGAGCGCTATCCCTAGCTCCCTCGTCTTTACATACTGGCCCCTGGTCCAGACACCATCCTATGGTCCTGTCCTCCCCAAACTGACGTTTACAGAGGTTCCTGGGTGTGATGAAAAGGGGGCCTCACAGCCAAGGGCACCCCGGAAAGGGAGGAATCAAGCAAGTGCCTCATGTTCCTAGTGCCCTGGCCCTTCCTAACATGCTGCTTGGATTATGGCTTTTTCTGATTCCCTAGTTTGCAAGACCTCAGTTCAGCACATCTACTTCCTGACTGGGTAAGGAGGACCAAGGGGCTTGGAGAGACACCCTCTCCCCAGCCTCCTGACAGTTCAGTGGGCAGAAGGAAGTGGCTCCTAGAAATAAAACCCAGAGGCCCCAAAAGGCTGAAGTGAGAGCGAACACCCTCTGGGAACCCAGGAGGTCATGTGCACCCCTACCCCTCGGTCCAGGACAGGACAGAGCTCCTGCCAACTGCCCAGCCTGCCTTTCTTCTCACCTACCCTAGCGGCTAGTCAGCCATTTAGGCAGCCAGGATTTTGACCACTTCCAGAGGTGACTAACAAGAACAGTGTAAAACTAAGCCTCCAAGGATCAGTAGTCCACAGAGCCTGGTGCCCAATTCAAGCCCTGGCATTAAGCCAGTCTGTACTTGCTTCTCCCAATCTCCATTCCAGGAATAGAAGACTCCTTCTTAAAGCCGTCCATCCTGGGAGGAAGTTCCTCCCTAGGCCTAGCTGCAGGATCTCCTACTGTAAGATCTGGGCTCCACTGAACGCAGCCTTTCAGCACCACTGGGTTGCCAGGCCCTTTTTCCGGTACGCACTAGACAACAAATGTTTGCACAGTGAGTGTCCCACCCACAGCCCTGCCTGCCCCACACCAGAATTAAATGAGCTTATACACTTAAATTCTTTAAAGTGTCCCACAGCACCTGCTGAGTAATCAGAAATCAGTCACTGCCCCCTTAAATAAAGTGAGCCTGTGGTCCCGCCCCTCCTAATTGGCACACTCCCCTGACCTGCCTCACCAGCAGATACCCAGGGAGGTCAAGGGGCGAGCCCAGTGAGGGCAGAAGGTCTTCCCAGAGAGGACTCTGGGTCTCCGGTAGAGAACTGCCAATGGAGAAGGCCCCAAGGTCAGTGGGGGGGGGGCACAATAGCTGGAGAATATGTGAAGCCAGCGACCCCCTCACCTCCCCAGCCCTAGACACCACATTGGGGTGAGGGCTTTCTTCCCTTCCCCTATCTTGCTTCAAAGATGGCAAAAATTTGAGTGCCAAAACCAGGACAGCTATCACTTTATTTAATCTCTTTCTCAGCCCTTTGATCCCCTTTTTGGAGGATGAGAAACCCAAGGGTTACAGAGATCAATTTGCCCATGATCACTTGGCCCAGAGTTGGGCCCAAGGCTCACACTCCAAAGCCAAGGCTCTCTTCTACCCACTCTTCTACCTCTCCTAGGGGCGCGGGCAGGGCAGCTGTGAGCACTGAGTAAGTTCCAGCCCAGAGCGCCTGGGCTTGGTGAGAGGGCAGGCGGGGGAGAGAGCAGGGAGAAAGGCTGATGCCGGGTCACAGACACCCCTGCCATGAGCCTGCAGTTCACATGGTGAAGTTAGGCCACGTGAGAAGCAAGGGGAAAGGGACTTCACCCTCTAGGGACAGCTGCTTCCAAATCTAACAAAACCCCAGAGCAAGCCCTGGTGCTGGGCCTCCTGCCAGCGACTCTAGTCAGTCCCAGGGGGCGCTGGGTCAGCGTATACAGCGGGAGGCACACAGAAGAGAGTGAAAGCTCTCTGGCTTCAGAATCAGAATGCCTGAAAACAGGGCCCCCTCCCATCCCCACTTCACACGGGCTGGTGCAGTGCCCTCACAATCGGGCTGCAGGACCTGTGCCCAGGGCCCTCAGCATTTGCACACATTTGCATAAACAGCAGGCAGGTCCAGATAATGCCTCTTCCACAGAAGGTGATATCAGTGCAGGGCTGGGTGCTCCACGCTCCTCTGTGAAGGATACCCAAGGGCACCAGGCAAGCCAGGAGAGGCCAGCTGAATGGTCCATTGAAGCCAAGAGTCAGATACTGCCATGATCATGGAGCCAAGGCTGTGCCCACACACGCAGGGCTCAGCCCCGGTGGTAGTGGTAAGGGTGATGGCTGTGCTCCTCCCTGGGCCCCACAACTCCAGGGCTCCGAAAGTGCTTGTGTTTCTTCCCTGACCTGTGGAGGGGACATGGAATGGGAGGAGAAAGAGGCCTTGAGGAGCCAATACCATGTCGAGAAGGGGATTCCAAAGAGGGGACCCTGTTTCTCCTAATGAAGCCAGCCCAGGCAGCCACTGCCAAGTACTGGGGGAGGCGGGTGTGGTGGTACATGGCTGTAATCCCAGCACTTGGGAGGCTGAGGCAGGAGGATCATGTGAGTTTGAGGCCAGCCTCAGCTACAAAGTGAGCTCAAGGCCAGTCTGAACTGCATAGCCAGACTCTATCTCAAAAAGACCAAAAAAAAAAAGAACTGGGGGAGACTTGGTTTTCCAGAATGGAGGCTCCAGCTGGGGAGGCAGGAAGATGGGGTCTTCCATATACCCCAGGCCAGCAGGTACAGGAAAGGAAGGACAACTCAGGAGAACCCCCTGCCCCACCTCAAAAGGGAACTCCTCAGGACTCGTGGTCCCCAAGGGAAGGCAGGAATTACATCTGGATGCCTTCTCGAAGGCAAGCAAGTTGGGGCCAAAACCTGGGAGAAGTTCTTAAAGACCCCAGCTTAGGGCCCTTGCTCCTTCACAGTCCTCCCAGATGTACCCATCCTGTCCGAAAAGACTGGGGTCCCCCCACAGCTACCCACCTTCTTTTCAGTGCTTTGTCTCCCAAAAAGTGGCTGAAGATGAAGTCCTCAAAGTCATCTACCTCATCGTCATCACCGGTCTGCCTCATTGCCACCTCCTCTAGGCTGTCCTCCAAGGCATCCACGAAATCCCGGAAGCGCAGGCGGTCATGCCGGAAGACACCATCCTCACCAAAGTAAGCAGGCGAGAGGGGTAGCTCCTTGGCCAGCTGCCCAGCCCAGGGAATCTGCTCAAGGTATGTCCTCAGCAGAGAGGCCAGCTCCTGTTGCCGCACTGGGGCCAGCTCTGTGCCAAAGAAGGCCAGGCCCTCCTGCCGGGCACATCCAGCCACACCTGAGCAGCCCTGGGGTGCCTTGTACTTGCGCCTCAACAGCTCCTTCCAGGGGGGCTGGGAGTCATGACTGTCTTCAGCCCCTTCTCTCCCCCAGGGATGCTTCTGCTTTTCTCCAGAGTGGTGACTCCCACTTTTCCATGCAGGGTCTTTGGAGTCCCGTCGTTTCCCACCCTTCTGGCCTCCCCACCGCTCCCCCTTTGGTTTGTCCTCCTTCCACCTCCCTGCCAGCTCCCTGTCCTCAGCCCCAAAGCTCTTCTTCCTCTCCCAGCCAGACTCCTCCTTCCTATGCTTCCAGTGCTCAGCCTTCCTGTTCCTCTGCCCATCGTGCCACTTCTCCTTTCTTGCCCATCGGGGCTTCTGATGCCAGGCCTCCGAGGCATTGGCAGGGACCCCAAGGTCCGGGCCCCAGTTCTCCAGGCCCTTCAGCGTCTGGGCCAATCTGTGGCCCAGCTCAGCCAGGCCAGCACGAGCGGAGTCCCCTCGGCCAGCAGCCAGCAAGCTCTTCTGCAGGTCTTGCTGCACGGAGCCCAGCAGCTGCCGCTGTCTCTGCAGCTCCCTCCTCAGCACCTGGGCCTCCTCTTCCAGCTTTGCCTTCTCCTCTAGGAAGTCGGATCCCGGCTCCTGGCCCTGGTGGCCTTGCTCTGTGGTGAGCCTGCCACCCTGTGGGCCGTGGCCCCGGCTGAGGCACACCCCATCTGGGCCCTGGATGCAGTCAGCCCTCAGCTCCTGGAGCCGGGTCCGCAGCTGCTGCAACTCTGCCTCCAGGGCCCGCTGGGAAGCCTCGCCCTGCTGCAGGGCCCCCCGGAGCCGGGCATTCTCCTCCTCCAGCCCTTTGGGCTGTTGCATCAGGCTCTGAAGCTCTTCTTTCTGGGCCTAGGATGTGGTTAGGGATGGAAGAAACCATAAAGAGTCCTTGTCAGGATGATGCCTTTTATCTCAATTCCATTCCATAGAGTGGACAGGCAACCAAGCCTTTTTATGGCCTGGAACACCCAGAGGATTTGATTCTCAGTCTCCTCCCAGTGCCATTCCTACCCTAAGCCTTGAATCCCCAAATTCCACCCTGGGCCTCAGCATCTATGTCCTCACACTTCTTAGGTTCTCCTAAAAGTAGCCAGTATGTAGCTCCAGGCGCACTTCCAGCTCCCACACCCAGAGCCAACACTGTTAACTGACCACAGCACTTGGCATGAGCCTTGGATGTTCTCCTGGTCCTTCTCCGCACAACACTCAAAGGAAGAATGTACCAGTCAATCAGAGGTGAAATGCTATGAAACACACGTGCCAGCCCTGGTACAGACCTTGACAGGAGGAAGGCGAGCACACTAGGAAAGCTCAAGGTGTATGGGTGGAAAGGGGAAACTCCTTTTCAGGATGGACACTAGGACAGACACCTGGATGGGGAGGGGGCTAGCTAACTGAGCCCATACCCTCCTTCCTGTTCCTACCTGCAGCTGGGCCTGCAGCAGCCGGATGTCCTGGTTCTCCTTGGCCAGCCTATCCAGCAGCAGACCCATGTTATGCAGGCTGGGCACACTGTCAGTAGAAACTGAGGCCTGTAGCTGTTCCCTTAGTCCATCCTGAGGACAGAAGATCCAGCTACTTCATGCTGTCCCACAGCCCAGCTGCCTGGGTTCTCCCTACCAGGCCCCACACCTGTGGAGACGTATCTTCACACGTACCTGCCCATCTGCCACAGCATCCACCAACTCGGTGTTGGAGCCAGCATCAGGGAAGACCTGAGGCTCTGCTTCGTCCATGGGCCCTGCAGGAAAATGAGGTCCTGAACCTAGCCCCACCCCCACTCCCAGGCACCCCCTCCTGCTGTGAATATACCCAGGTCCAGCTAGGTAAAGGTGTCACCTGAACAGCTGACAAGGTCAGAAAGTGGGAAATAATGTGCAACCCCAAACACACTGCTCCCAACCCAGAGCACACGCGCATGCACACACACACGCATGCACACATACACCAGACAAGCACAAGCCAGGGCCCCTCCCCACTCACCAGTCTCCGACTCTGAGAGCCCACCTGAGGATGGAGAGGGAAACCTGGTGAGGCCTCAGGGAAGGGTATAGTGAGGTCAAGGCACGAGCAGACAGGACAGGTGAGGTTCCACTCACCGGAGAAGAGGAGGATTCCCAGGCCCAGCAGAACCAGGGCCCCAAGAAGGCACATGTTGAGTGAGATGCCCAGCTCCCCGCTGGCAACCTCACCCCTGGCCTGGTCCTCCACACCCAAGGCTGCCACTGTCTGAGGTGGGCTGAGTTGGCGGCCCCTTCGTCTCCGCAGACCCTCCGTGTCCACGTCAGTGTCATCCTCACTGGTGGAGCAGCGGCCCTCCTCCCTAATCCAAGCTGGGGATGGGAAGAGGACAGTGAAGCCACTGGAGAGGCAGGACACAGAGGGAAGTGGACGAGGGCACAGAGAGACCCCAGCCTGACCGTGGAGAAGGCACACAGGGACCCTGCCCATTCCTGCTGGGCAACGATCACTGCCCCTGCCCAGACTGGAGATAGGAGACACGTCCTTTCTATCTATAAGTGACAAGAGTCATCTGGGCATGATGGTAAACAACTGTAATCCCAGCACTCTGGGAGGTTGAGGCAGGAGGATTGCAAGTTTGAGCCCAGCCCAGGCAACTTAGTGGCTTAGTGAGACCCTGTCTCAAAATGAAAAATGACTAAAAGAGCTAGGGTTGGAGCTCAGTCCAAAGGCTCTGGGTTCAATCCTTTGTACTACAAAAATAAATAAATAAATAAATAAATAAATAAAATAATAATAGAAGAAGAAGAAGGAGAAGGAGGAAGAAGAGGAGGAGGAGGAAGAGGAAGAGGACAAGAGCCACTTTCATTCTGAAAAGCACCCTCCTTCCTCCAATGTGTGCCTCGCATCAAGTCTGTGCAGTGCTTACCATCCTGTGGGACCCCTGGGGACCCTCCGGCTGTGCTTCTCGGTCTGCCACCCAGCTCTTCTCCACTCCTGTAGACAGCAGTGGTCTTCCTGGCACCTTCTCTAGTTCTCTGCTTCTCTATCCACAGGGTCACAACCCTCTCACCCGCCACACTGAACCCCCACTACAGCACACGAGTCCCTGACCTGCAACCCTTCCTGGCCTCCTAGGAGATCCAGACCTGTGTGTCTGAATGCCTAGGAACTCCCTTCCAGATCTCCCTCAGGACCAGACTGTCTCTTCTCTGGGTCCCTCGGTTCAGGGAAAGGCACCACAGTGGCCATCTGGCCATCGTACGCCTTCCCTCTTCTCTTTACACCAGAAGCTTGACACTTGCGTCCATGAAGCCTCCAGTCCATCTTCCTCACCCCAGAGAACTGCTTCGATTAAGGTCACTGCAGGGGCTCTGAATCGCCAGGCCCAGCCTCTGCCTCTCCCTCCCTGTCCCCAACAGAAGCGACTCCTGCATATGTGTCCCACAGCCACCCCGCAAGCTCTGTGGATGCTACAGCCTTGGCCCAGAATGTTCTCTTCTTCCTGCCCTCCTAGTTCCCTCTCCTGTACTCGAGGGTCCGCTCAAATAGCACCTGCAACCACCCTGCCTCTCCCTTACCCTCAGCCTGTTCCTGACTGGACTATTCCCCTGTCCCTCGGGAGCCCCTTCATTACACCTACTTTCTATGCCCTCCTAGGCCTGATTGGCATCCTGGTTCAGTCTGGCCTACCTTTTTTTTTTGGTACCAGGAATCAAACTCAGGACCTTGTGCTTGCCAGAAAGGCGCTTGTGCCGCTAAGCTATATCCCTGGTTGGTCTACTTCTTACAGTCCATAAAGCACCTACTTTCCCTCCTCCTGGGCTGGGGAAGGGACTCTGAAGATGAGGACTGAGTTCTGGAAGCAAGAAAAGAGGAGGCCCCAGGGCAGAGGAGAAGAGTCAACCAGGTTGGGCCCTGTCATGGGATACTGATCCAATCACTGAAGCTTTCTGAGCCCAGTGTCTTTAGTGGTAGAGAAAGGACCTGAGTACATGCCCCAGCCATACCAATGGCTGTCCCCTCTCTCACATATTCCAGGAGGAGGCAAGGAAAGGGACTCACCTGCTCTGGGGCTGGAGGGCAGGCTCTGTAGGTCGTCCAGGTCATGTGTGTCCGGGCCCAGGCTTGTTGCCATGGAAGTCTCCTGCAAGTCTCCCTGGACCACTGTGTCTCCTGGGCCAGGGGACTCCACATCAGGACCATCTCCTCCCACAGCGACCTGGTGCGGACACAACTATGAGCAGGATCCACTCCTGCCCACCTCCCATCCTGCCCCAGATGAAGGTCCTCACCTTGGCCTCAGTCTCCTCAGGCACAGTGGGACTAGTCTGGGGGCTTTCCGTCTGGAAGAAGTTCTCTGTGGTAAGAGAAAAGGCCCAGGAAAAAACACTGCCCCCAGCTGAACTTTCTACTCCGCCTCTGGCTCCCACATACCCCTACCAGGCTTGAAGATTAAGCAGCACCCCAGTCCCCCTGGAAATGGGAACCCAGGGGAAGAGCTACACCACCACGCTCCATACAGCCCCGTTACCTTCTCCATCCAAGGTCCCAGCTAATTCTTCACCATCTTCCTTGGAGGGGCTTTGAGACACCTGGGGAGCTCTCTCAGACTCAGGGTCTGTCCTGGGTTCTGGGCCCAGGGTCTCCACAGGCAGGTTCTACAGGGAAGGATTAAGCATAGAGCTACTTACAGGAAGGACAGCAGGACAAAAACAGGAGCTGGGGTACTCTACTGGGGTCCCTGGGGCCAGCTGCACACTCAGGAACCCCAAACACATCTCAAAAGAAATGACCACTCAGTAGTGACCTGATCCCAAGTGGGCCCAGCTCAGCAATTTCCTAACCTCATGGCTGCTATGAGAAACCCACAGAGGCCAGGTTATTAGTTGGGGTGGGAAGATAAAGTTTCCTGGGTACCCAAGGGTCAGAGTCTGTTCCCAGGGCCACTCCTCCAGCTGCCCATCTGCTTACATTGTCCAAGCTTTTCTGGCCTTTCCCTCCGGCCCAACATTCCCACACACACACACCCATTCCCCAGCTGCTGCTGGCAGAAGCCCAAGTGCCCAGCCACAGACTGCCTGACTCCTGTGGTGCTCATGGCACAGCCTCCAGCCTGGCCAGACGGCCTCAGCCTCTCTTCCCTCTGCATACCCACTGCCGGCCGCCCCGCCCATGGCTCCTGTAACCCCCTCCAAGAATAATTCTTGATCTTAGATGTTTCTTTGCAACTTTCATATCATATTTTTCTCATAGCTGTCTCTACAATGCAAGACTCATACCCTCGCTTTCCAGGGGAAGACAGGCGAAGTGGCTTCCCCAGGTCCCTCAGCTGTCAAGTGCACTCCAGGAGGTAAGGGCTGCCTGAGAACACTGTGCTTATCCAATGACCACCTCCCTTCCCCTCTGCCAGCAAGCTCTAGGCCAGGTGTCCTTCTCCAGTGTCACTGCTGAAGTCAACTACTCCTTTCCAGCATATGTTTTTTTGTTTTTCGGTCTTTTTGAGAGAAGGTCTCACTATGCAGTTCAGGCTGGCCTTGAACTCACTTTGTAGCCCAGGTTGACCTCAAACTCACAGTGATCCTCCTGCCTCATCTTCCCAAGTGCTGGAATTAAAGGCATGTGCCACCACACCTGGCTTCTTCCCAACATATCTAAAGACACAGGGTCTGGGCTTTGACACATTGCCAACCTCCCACCAGCTCCAGCCACTAATCCCCCACCTCACCAAACCCTTTTTTTTTTAATTTTAAAAATAAAAGAAGAAAAACATATTAACAAACAGCCATCCATTTACAGAATAGCATAAAAACAATACAAGCAATACTGAATTACAGAACATTTAGGTTCTTTTTTTTTTTTTCTGTACCAGGAATCAAACTCATGACCTCAGGATTGTCAGGCAAGCACTTATGCCGCTGAGCTACATCCCCGGCCCTCAAACTCTCTCTTTCTTTTCAGGAGCACAGGACCTCTCTGGATTCCTGCCCCACCAACTGTTACCTGCATGGTTGCAGGAGCCTTCAAAACAAGGTCCCTTTTCCCACACAGTGGCTTGCCCCTCTTCCAAGGCAATCACTGTCCTCTAACTCAGGGCCCTTCACTAGACTGCCCATGAGGAGGAGGTCTGGCTGCCTCACCAGGCCCCTAGGTCTCTTCCAGGTGTTCCTAGGGCCCACCCACCCTCACTCCAACACTGTCTCCAAGGGTCTCCTCATAGCCTTCACCCACATGCCTCTCCCACTGTCACCTCAGTAACATAGCTCTTACTGGTCTCCCCACTAGAACTTTTTCCCTGTTCCTGTCAGCTGACCTAGCTAATACCCCTCATTTCATGTATGAGCCAACTCCCAATAGCCAGCCCTTGAGGCCAGATCGCCTCTCTGGAATTCTTCTAACAGGCAGCGGGAGACAAGAGGAGATGTAGGGGACTATCAGGACCAAGGAAGGGGACATATCCAGAAAGCAGCCTAGCCCTGAAGGAACCACCCTCCCCATGTGGTTCCCAGGCTTGCCCCTCCTACCTCTGCACCGGCAAGCACCCAGCTATTATCCGAGTCAGGGCAGGAGGCCATAGCTGCTGAGGTTCCTGAGGCTGCTGTGTCTGCCACCTGCAAAAAAAATGCTATCCTAAGGACCAGAGTTCCCTTCAGGAGAGAGGATACATAAAGCAATCTTGGCTGGGTTTCAAAGATCAAGGGCTAGGCAGCAGCACCCAAGCCCAGGCTGGTTCTAGTCCTTCTGACCCTGATACCTCAGCTCTTCTGAGCAGTATTTACCTTGCAAAAGAGCACCTGCCAATAGCCACAGAAAAGCTGCCTCTTCGGGGATCCACAAGGCCTTGGAAAACTGAACAGACCTTGAAAGGTCAAAGGCACATAGGGCTGGAAAGGCCCTGGAGAACATCCAGTCCAACTCTTAATGTTATGGGCAGGGAAGAAGCAGCCCAGGAAAGCTGACTGACTTGACTTTCCAAAGATCAGCAACTAAGAGTCAGGAAAACAAAACAAGTGGCCCCCTTCATAACATCAGGCAAAAAGAAAAAAAGAAAAAATAATAACATCAGGCACCTCCAAAATCACCCCCTCTTCTCTCAGGGCCTGGACAGAAGATGTGATGGCCTCCCACAACCTACACACTGCCGCCGGTCCTCTGTGTGGTCTGGTTCAGGGGTTCACAACTCCAGCTGTACACTGGCTTCCTACGACTGATTCAGTGGGGTAAAAGCCCCTCAGATGATTCTCAAGTACACCCAGGGCTGAGAGCCACTGGCACGAACAGATCCACTTGGATGCACTTCTGACCAATCTCCTCATCACTCTCTCCGCTCTAAATTCTAATTTCCCTTCTTAGTAATCTGGAGAGTTTGGTCTTAGGGAACTTGAAGGTGACCAGGAAAAGAGACATGCAGACTATCATATATAAACCACTTCATAGTTTATATAGACAAAAATAAAGACCCTGGTGCTACCCACTGCTAATTAGCTCTGTCTTGGCAGGGTGGGGGCATGAAGCAAGCTGAAAAGAGAAGGACCTCTCCTTCAACAAAGGCCAAGGTTGTGCCCTTAGGCTGAGAAGCTTCGATCAAAAGCAGGCACAAGAGTGGACTGACGGATTAGCTGACCCCTTCGAGTCTGCAACTGTGATCCTTTCAAGGAGGATAAATGAACGCCCAAGGGACAAGGGCAACAAGTAGATGACTCGGTAAGGAATGCTGGGAAAGGGGGAGGACAGCAGTTCTACCCTAGAAAACAGGTACACTGCCCCCCCTTGTCTGATCTGGGTTTAAGCCTGTGTGGTGCCCTGATAACCTCCTGTGGCTCTTGCCGCTGAAGATCTAAGCCCAGGATAGGTGACCGACACCTGACAACGCCATCCCATCCCCTATGCTCATGCCTCTCATACACACACACACCCATCCCGCAGAGCCAGGGATGTGCAAAGCCTTTCTCCACCCAAATCCAAAGGGACACCAATGAGGTGTCCGTGGAAACCCACTGATCTAGCACTGTACTGGCTTCTGGTCTTGGCCCCTCCCCTATTGTTCTGTCATCTTCCCCTTCGCAGCCAGCACAGTTGGTGCATATAACTGTTAACAGGTGGTGGCAGGAAGGAAGTGGTAGCAGCTTGGGCTGCAGTCCCTGTTTATCCCTAGATGTGTACAGCCTGCTTAGGTCCTCCACAACCAGGTACCATGGCAACCAGAGTGATGTCAGACAGACCCACAGTCTCCACGGAAACCAGCAATGGTATTTGGGTCACCAAGACAAACACTTCTAAAATCCAAACATGGGTCAGTTTGGAACCTCTGCAATCAGGGTCCCAAACCCTAGACTTTTCTCTTGGCTGTATTCATCCAAGATTCCAAAATATACCTCTGTTCTCCCAGGCCAGCATCTCACTGCCTTATTTGGAAGTCTGGTCTGTTGTCTGATGTCCCCGCATCCCTGCTGTTTTGAGAGCTTTTTCTTCTCATCTATGTCTCAGAAGAAAACCCACTCCCTCCCCACTATCCCCTTCCTTTCCATTCAGCAGGATTCAACAAAAATACTCTGAAAGGATCATCACAGACTGCTGCTATTTCTAAAACACAGCTAAAGGGGGAGCTCTCCCACTCTGTACAAAACTATGAAATCGCGCCTCTATTTTCAACCCTTCTAATAGTTGTTCTCGCAAACTCTAATGGAAAGGACCTAGGGCCACAAGAAATTGCCTGGGGAACCCAGAGCAAGTTCCTGCTTGGCAAATACCCGCCCCTCCTTCCCCTAGCCCTACGTCCTCTAAAAAGCCGCTCTGTGGATCCCAGGTGGCAGCCATGCCTTCTAGAGCTCTGCCCTTTTTCCCAGTAACCCCTTCCCACAGAAGGTCTGAGGGCCCCTTCCCAGCCAGGGCATTACCTGACCCGACCCAGCTCTCCCTTCCGTCTTCAGCTTAACTTGTTGCTGCCTCCCCAGGTTTCCAGCCGAAGGAAGTGTGTGGCTACGTCACTGAAGCTTGACCAATGAAAAGTCGACTTCCCGCAAGGGGCGGAAACTTTTGGCCAATAAGAGCTGGAATTGAGAGCTGGGCGGGGAAGAAAGGGGAGATCTACGCAGCCTCTAACCCCTGGTTTACCTGCTGGTGGGTCACTGAGGTCCTAGCAAACTGGACTTCAAGTGAACTCAATCTCTTTCCCGTCGTCCAGAGCTTATAGAGGGAAGGCGTAAACTGAAAAGCAAAAGGTTGTGTCTCCTAAAGCAAGGACAGGGACCACAGGACAGACAGGGACAGCTGTAGGATGGGGGAGGGGAGGGGAGCGGGATGGGTGGCGATGGTGTTTAGAAATAGCCCGCCTGCCGCCCTCCCTACTCATTACAGCGCAGGCTGTTCGCGGGCGCCACTGCTACTTTAAAAGGGGATGGGGGAGGGGCCCTGAAAAGCATCCAAAAATCAAATCTGTTAGACGGGAGACAGGGCCTTCCTCACAGTTGGAGCTACACTTGACCCCAAACGACAGGGAGGTGGGAGGGTGGGCACTAAACCCAGAAGAGCTCCAGCACAGCTCTCCCAGGGGCCTCAGAGCCAAATCTGCCTGGCTCCAATCCTGGCCCAGGAATGTGCTCAGAAAGGAAATTCGGTTTCTCACAGCTGGGAAGGAGGAGCGTGAGGAAACACAGCAGCTTATAGCAGTACCAGCTCTAGGACCTGAATCCCTCTGCCACCATCCAGCTTCCAGGGACCCTGGAAAGTAGACACCCTCACCGGCTAGGCATTCTTCCCAGCAGTGACTGTGGCCCATTCTAGCCTCTTTGCAGAAAAACAGCAAGGACTCTACATGTGGATTTTCAAGCCATTTTATTAATCCAACCATACAAAAGATCCCACATCTCTGCCACTCTACTTTCTTCCAAAAAGTAGTGGAGAGAGAAAGAGGGGGCAAATGGGACAGACACTCCCCAGGAGCATTTTACAAACTGTGGAGGGGAACACAACACAAATGTAGCAACAGATAAAAGGGGGGGGGGGCAAATAGAAGCACAAACACAACACAAAATTGGGCAGGGGGTGCTGCCACCGAGGCTGTTTTGGTGTGGGGGACACCAAGAGAAAAGCCCAGAGGCCACCTGCTTCCTTCTTACAGCCTCAAAGGCTGCCTCGCCCCAAGTGCAGGCTCTCCTCTCCACCTGCAGGAACTGAGAGAAGAGGGGGTAGGGAGCAGCAGAGGGTAGCATCTGCCACCACACCTAGGGCAGAGGGCCACACCTAGGCCTGACCTCCCCACCCCTCTGAGGAATGTGCACAGGAGCCTTAAGGAAAAAGAGGCTCTGAGCAGGGCCTACTAGCCCCATCACTGGCAGGCAGTGCTTTAAAAATAAAAACAAATCAAGCCCAGTGCAGGATTTTGGCTGAGAGGAACGAAAAATGCTAGATCACCAAGCTGCAGATGGTACAGCAAGGAAAGAGAAGTAAAAAACTTGAGGCTTTTCTCTTTTAGTACCATGGCGTTGAGGATCCTGCCACTACCTACTTACACGAGGCTGCAGTAGGGTTTCACTTGGACTCTTTTATCTGGGCGGAAATGAGGTATGAGGGCTCTGTGCCCCTCCAAGCTTTCCTTCAGTGCAGCCAGAGGGCTGGGGAACAAGAGCTGAAGAACAGAGCGGAGTATAATGTGCAACAGATGGACAAGGGGAGGGCTGTACCACCAGAGTCCAGGCCTCCAGGACAGCCCCAACGTCAAATATTCTGCTCTGCCAGACCACAAAGCCCAATTTTTGGCAAAAAAAAAAAAAAAGTCACTAGAAGAAAAAAAGCAAGCTGAGAAAGGACCAGTGACTTTGGTATGAGGAAGATATGTCCTGACAGCATCTCTCCCCAAGTCACCAAGACACTGCCGCAGCCAGGAACTCCTGCCTCTTCCAGCTATTTGGTACTCTGAGGGGGAGGAATTGGATAGCTCTGGGAGAGGTAACAGGGAGGGCAGAAAAAGGGAGAAATCCCATTTATTCCCTAAAGCTGTCTGCTACAGCCCACAAAAGGGCTGTGGTAGGAATGGGAAGAGATCCAACTCTCCTACCCAAGAAACTCTGAACCCTTTGACTCCAAAACCTGAGGCTGGAGCTGGAGGGCTAGATAGGGATGTTAGGCACAGGTGTTGGGGCATCGGTCATCTGCAGTTAGGACACCCTTGCCCTCCCCTCTGGAACTTCCTCCATCTTTTCTCCTGCAGCCACATCCCTAGGCCTCCAGATACAGCCACAAAAAATGGCTCTCTGCTCAGCAGGGCTTTGGTTTCCTGAATCTATAGATCTCAACGCACTAGTTTCCGGAAAAGTGAGCAATCTGGGCTCTTCTGCCCACCCACCTCAGTTCCTCTTCTGCCCTGGAACTATTATATTTCTGCTCCATGGGGATGGGAAGCCAGTGGAAACAAGACTGAAGACCCAGACAAACACCCTGGAAGAGCAGGAGGGACACGTGCACTTCTCCAGGCCGCCTTGCCAGTGTCACCCATCATTAGCAGCCACTAGCTGCCCCATGCCCTCGCGGATATAGACAGACTGGATCTCCTTGGTCTTGAGGCAGAGATCGCAGGCCCACACGGCAGAGGCCTCAGTGGTCAGCAGCCCATAGGCGTTCTCAGTCATGCCCGTGCACTCACGGTGGAACCATTTCTGGCAGGAGGCTTCACACAGTATGGCATCCTGGTCATCGTTCACCTCACTCCGACAGGCACCACATGGGTACACCAGGCCTGGAGGAGGCTGGGGCCCTGAGCTCCCACCTGCCTTGCCAGTAGGTGCCAAGCTGTTGGCATCTGGAGTGCCCCCACCTCGCCCACTACTGTTTGGCGGAAAACTGGGCTGATTCCCATTAACAGCAGCAGCCGGGGAGCCTGAATGGGGCTCCTGGGGGAAAGCAGTGGGAGCGGGGGGATTCAGGGGCTTCCCCCCATCCTCACCACCAGGGCCAGGAAAGCCAGGGTCAGGGCCAGGGAAGGGACTGGTGTTGGGGGGCAGGCTGGGGAGCCCCTGCCCAGGTCTCTGAAGAGAGGGGCCAAAAGGTGTCCCTGGCTGGGAAAAGCGCTGGGGGAGAGAAGGAGGGCCCAGGTCCCCTCTGGGAGGCTGTCCCATGGTGGGTGAGATCATGGGGCCAAACCCTCCCACTGGACCTGGTATCATCTGCCCACCAGGAGGGCTGAAATTCTGACCTAGAGATTGGTTGAAAGGTTGGCTGGGGAAGTTCATGTTGCCAGGGGGTGGGTAGCCAGGGCCCTGGGGGGGCATGTTGAAAGCTGGTCCCATCGGGTTGGGAGGGAATGGGGGAGGCTGTCGACGAAGTGGCTGGGGTCCCCCTCCACCCCCAGTGCCATAGCCTGGTGGTACCTGGCCTGCCATGCCCCCTTGTACACGGAAGCCTCCAAAGGGCACAGGGCTGCCAAGGAACGGAGGGGCTGCACCCCCCACTTTGGGGGTGCCGAAGTCATCCTCGAAAGGGTTGGACGCGACCAGGTGATCCACCATGGGAGTTGGGGGTGGTGCAAACTCTGTCAGGTGTGAGTATGCAGGGCCCTAGTGGAGAATGGAGGAGAAAAAGAAGGTCAGGGAGGAAGACAGAGCTGAAGCAGAAGAGCACCACAAAAAACACACACGTTGGGGGCTGCTACTGACCAGCTCAGATCTAAAATCAAGAAAGCCTTGAAATGCAACAGAAAAACAGGGGGAGAACAAAGCCAACACAGTATAATATCTATGTTTTGAAAAACAGGTAGAAGTACACTGAAATACCAGCTCTGACCCTGAAGCAAGTTTTTCTTTTCCTTTTTTTGGGTGCAGTACTGGACATTGAACCCAAAGAGTGCTGAGCACTCAAGGAGGGTTATCCCTTTTTTTTTTAATTTTTATTTTGAGACAGAACATCAGTAAGTTGCCCAGGCTGGTCTCAAACTTGCAATCCTCCTGCCTCCTGAGCAGCTGAAATTACAGGGGTGTACTATCAAGCTCAGCTTATTTATTATTTTGGGAGGCAATACTGAAGATTGAACTCAGGGCATTCATACTGAGCTACATCTCTAGTTTTATTGGTGTTTTGTGTTTTGTTTTTTATCTTTTTCAGTCAGGGTCTTACTATGCAGTTCACACTGGCCTTGAACTCATAGTGATCATCCTGCCTCAGCCTCCCAAGTGCCACCATGCCAGGCCTTCTAGCTCTTTATTTTTTTTTTTTTAGACAGGGTCTCACTAACTCTCTAACTTGCCCACACTGGGCTCAAACTTGCCATCCTCCGCCTCAGCCTCCCAGACTGCTGGGATTACAGCTAAGCACCACAGGCCCAGCTAGTTCATTTAACTTTTTAAAGCCTCAGATTTCTCATCTGTAAAATAGGGCCAATGCATACCTCCCAAAACTCTTAAAAGCACTTTAGCACAATCTTGGCACTTAGAAAAGGCTCAGTATTGTAGGTGTTTATGATTACGAAGGAGGGAATCAGAACAGGAGACATGAGGGGGAAGACTGTAACTCTACCCAATAAGACCTTTAGTCAAATCATAATTTAGTTTATCAAAAAGTTGACAGAAACACCCAGAAACACAACAAGCCCGAGCGACCACTTTCTCTGTTCCCTGCACCTGATGGAAGACACAAACCAAGCAGCAGAACCGTTAGAGCGGGCTGCTAGGAATCATCCCCACCACCACACCGCCAATCACCTGAGTATTTGACTTCCTTCGTTTCTTTTCTGGGCTCTTCATTTGCAGACCTGGAAGAGCAGCAAAAAACAAACACAGGCGTGTTTCCCTACGGTTTCTCCAACCTCCTCTCACCCAGGAATTACTTTAACTGCATGCTTGCCTCCTTAATTAACACATACGGTACTAACAAGGCGTGTTATACGAAAGATGAACTGTATGACCATACTCTCAACTCTCTTTCTTGAAATGACAGCCCATCTCCTGACACTATCAGAGTCCAAGTGACTCCTTAATTCCACGTGGCTCCAAACCCTGAAGTCAATCTGTGACACCTTCCCCTAACCCCTGAAGGGCCACATCCACTTAGCCTTTTCACGTGGGCCTCTCCTCAGGCCCCCACCCACCAACCCTCCCTCCGAGGTTCCCAAGCCCTGGCCTCCCCAGCCCCCGCCTCTCCGCGCTCTCACCGGCCTTGCCCTGCTTCCTCCCGGTGCTGGGCGGCGCAGGGGGCGGTGCGGGGCCGCCACCTCCCTCCAGCTTGTCCGGTGGGGGCGGCGCCGAGGCGGCCATGGAGTGGAGGACCTGGGTCAGCGGCGGCAGGGGATGGAGGCGGCCTCAGGCCGCACCATCGCCCAGAACGGGAGTCAGGGGCACCACGAGCCCCCGAGCTGCAGCCAGCGCGCGGCACTGCGCGGCGCGGAGCGCAGGCTATGCGCTCACGGGGACACCAAAGACCGCCGGCGGCGGCGGCGGCGGCGGCGGCGGCGGCGGCAGCAACCGGAACCGGAAGTCGGCTGGGCCACCACCACCGAGCGCCGCACGGAGGGGAGGCGAGGACAGGGCACGACCCGACGCGGGGGAGCTCGGGTGGGAGAGACTGTCGCTCGCCACGCCAGTGGAGGGCTGCTTCGTGCCACGGGCACCGCCCGTCCAGCTCGGCTAGGTTCGGAGGCGCCCGCAAGTCCGGCCTGTGGCCGGATTGTACCACCTGGGCGGGGGCCGCTGCCGGGAGCGCGCGGACCCGGACGCGCGCCCGGGAAGCCCCGAGGGCCCAGGGTTGG